CTGGAGTACATACCGTGGTAAGAGGCTGTAGAACTCGTGACTCTATTACAAACCGTACCCAGTGACGAGGATAACTTGGTCCTATGTAAACCAGATTGATTTGAGGTGGATGGAGGCTAAGGGGGGGTGCGACAATAGAGTCCGCGGGACTGACGAGGAGTACAGCCAAAAGCACAAACCCTCTTTTTTGTGTCCCTCGAATTCAGTGATCAGTGTACCTGGAGAATAGGGCTGCTTATTCCAGAAGCAGGTTATGCCCTGGCGGGGAGAGGGGAAGTGTCAAGGTGTCGAGTGGCGCCTGGGGGAGGGGTGAACGAAGGAGCAAGATCAGCGACTGTACAGGCGTGCCGGAGCGAAAGAAAGGAATCGGCGTTTTCCACCCGTATTCCAATTTTCTTGACTCTTCTCCAGAAAGGGGATATTGGGGCCTGGTGTGTGAGTGTCAAGCTAAAGCAGGGAGCCCGTACAGGGGTCTAGAGCCCTACATATAACAAGGACTGCTAGAATCCAATCCGATGTGCCTTCAGAGCCAAGATGGTCGCGGTCAAGGTTCTCAGTGGAACTAAAGGTCTCAAACGCAAGGCGGACGCGTACTTTTGTGAATAGAAATCCCGGACCAGGTCGAGCCAAGGAGAGAGGGGTGGCGTCGTCTACCGTGATAGGGCGGCTGGCAGGCGGCAGAGATGCAGTAGCTGCAGGATACTAGCAGATACTGTCTCTGGAGATGCGACAGCTCTGTAGTGGATCTTGTTTTCCCTCCAGATTCGTTACGTCGTTTAACACCAGGTCGTTCGGTAGTGGGGTGTTCACGGCCGCAAGGGAATACGCATTCGACTGTCGATCTCCAAAAGCTACTTATTGCCCTAGGGGGCAAAAGGGAGCTAGTTGAGAATGAAAACTTGGAATAGAATGGGTTTATGGGGCTGCTTGTCCAAGAAATCCCAAATCGATGGGCCGAGACGAGGGAAAACGTCTTGTAGCCCGCTTGGATGGCTTATGGAAGTGCACCAACGCCACGAGCTTAGGCCAGGGGTCCTTGACAATGGCCACGAGGTCAGATGTGAGGCAGAGACTGCTGTCTGGTGATATAGAGAGCTTGGGAGAAGGCGGGCTTGCCCAAGGGCGAGAAACGAGGACGTCCAAGCTTCAATCCGGACTCGACGATCAACATCCGCTCCGCGACACGAGCGAACAGAGCCGTGGCTTGAAATTGAACGATAAGTGGAGAAGAGTTAACGAAAGCGTGCTCTATAATACCGAATATGTAGACTTCGAACGAGGATGTTGGCGTTGAACCCCTGGGCTGGGACGTTGTTTTAATAGAGAGACGCCACGGATTGAACGGAGTAAACGAATGCAAGGCCAATGGCAAGAATATCCAATAGACGCGACAAGCTTCGTATCTGGCGAGGGTATGTCGGGATACAAAGAAGAAATGCGACCCGACAGTGAGGATATGTCTAGAAGCTTCACGCAGCGGCGATGCTGGGCAGAACCGCTTGACGTCCGAGGCGGGCATTTACATGGAGACACATCCAAACACAGACGCCCAGGTACCTTGATTTGGCGGGAAAGCAGCCGGACGGAGACACGAAGTGGACATGACCTGTCAGCCTGCCCATTTCGCCACCGGCTGTTCAAGGGTTCGGTGGGCGGAAGAAGATCATGAAGCGCCACTGACGGGGACAAGGTCAGTCTGGGACCCAAGCTTGGGGCCCAGGAAGGAGGGTCCGCCCTCGCCGGCTCATCAGCCACATCACATGTACACTGGCACGTACGATGGCATGGATGGCTTTGGAGATGGCCATCCAATGGCTTGGAGCAGCGTGCTACTAACTGCTGGTAGTACGGGCTGGAGCATACGCGCCCCTGAGCCTCCCAACCAACCATCCCAGGCCCTAGCACGTCCGCCTCGACGACTTTAATCCCACAACTAGGCCGTGGGTGTTCAGTAAAACTGGGCCGCACGGGGTGTATGCCATCGCAGGCAGACACCTTGTGGTCGTACATCTACACAGATACACAAGCTTTAAACCCGGTTGCTCGCTTGGGCATGGCGGGGAGATGAGCAAGGGGTGTTGCCATATCATTATAGTGTGGGATATAGCCACTTAGGGGAGCAGCAGGCCCAAAAGAGCTGGACGGTGATACCCGTGTGGAGCCTGCGAGCACGAGCACGAGCATGGAGGCAGTTGACAGGCTGCAATTGCCATAACACCACCAGCATCAATTGCCTGCCGTCATTTGACAGTAGGAGTTTCCGAACCCCAGAAGCTTCTAGGGACCGGGCAGTGGTTGCGGTAGCAGCAGAGTTTCCCACCCCTGGTCACTTGGACAATTGAACCCGGTCAGTCCACTAACCGTCCAACCCTTGCTGTGATACCTGCCTGCGATTCGGCAGGTACGTCCATGCACATGCTCGGCCTGCATATGTTGAGCCACAGCCCTTTCCACGGGATCAGTCAGCAGACGTTGCCACTTGACTGGAGCAAACGGTGCTCGCCATCCACCGACGAACCCAACTCAATCGCCAGCTTGGGTTTCATCATTCGGTCTCGGGTTTGTTTGCGAGGTCTGGCTGCTGGGTCTGCACACCGGCCCTTCAGCCACCGAACACGTCTGCGTGCACACAAACTAGGTAGTGCGATGCTGACCAGCAGCGGTGGTGGTGGTGGTGGGAGATAGGGTGGCCCGAGAGGGGGCGTGAACTGGACGGGGGGGGGCGAGGGGAGGGACCCTGATTCCTGATCGGCATAATGCTAAGCTTGCGCGAGGGGGCTTTAAAAAATTACCCATCCTCTGACGATCGAGGATTGACGAATATATCGATACACTACCAGACACCGTTATATTTCGGGGGGGGGTGGACATCCTGTCCCCATTCAATACGTCATCACCGCTGCCTTCCTTCTACGAGACTTCAAAAGGTTTTTTCCCCTTCCAGAGGCTTCTTCCAGCGCTCGAGCTGTCGCGTGCTACAAGGCCTTATAGGGGACTCTCGGCCACTGCATTGGATTGAGCCTAGGCTCCGCTCCCAGTCAATTCGTCGTCTCACCACCTCACCTCACCTCACCTTACCTCGCCATTGCCCTCGTGTGATCTCGCAAAATCCTCGCCCACCGAACCCAAGCCACTGGTTCCGGTCCGGCTGGCTCAGAGCACTAGCCGCCTACTTAGCTCTCGCCATCCATGGACACGCCGTTCGTTAGTTGGCTGGTTCGGCTCTTGCACCCGGCAATTACTGGGACGAGCGGAGCACGAACGCTGGTTACTGTGGCTAACACTTGCCCGATGAAGGTTCCCCGCTGTATTATGACTTAATTGAGTTTCGAGGGGTGAGGTTCCCAATCGGTGCGTGATTCATATCCGCATAGGGACTCTAACCATTGGCGACGGCGTTCATTCATACCCGTCGCTCATCCGTCCGCCGATCACCTCTGTTCTTACTGCCGGCGGAGGCACATGGACGGATGGAAGGGCAACGTATGGCCGGACGGTGGCCGGACAGAGACCGGCTGATCAAAGCGCAGGGTGTCTCGGTAATAGTTGACCGTTTTTTCTTTTTTCCACGCCTCCACGCGCGAATCAAATGCCTCCTCTGTCATTGAGATCTCGCCTCGGCAGGGCCAAACGTCGCTTATGGCTCCAGGCACAGAATATGCAGCCATGTGGCCCCAGATCCCAATTTTCAGGGCAAAAAGCAGTATCTGGACAAATAAGTACAGGGACGATATTCAGGGGTCCCTAGGCCTCTCCTACCACTATGATATCATGCCTTGAGGCCGCCGGCATGCGTGCATACCCAGGCGCTCCGGACCGACTGTAGTAGACTTAGGACAGGTAAGTCTACGTTGAGATGGCGTATTGGCGCTTGTACTCAAGTCATTTACAGGTACGCCTTCTAGACGCTAACCGCGTCTACGGAGCCGAAAAGACTCGGGCCTCAAGTATGTACTTCCGGTAGGACAATGTGGTGCCTTGGCACATTGGTCGTTGGCCCTCCCTCTCTACGGATGTTACCGAATTTAGAGTTGCCATATTCGTCCAAGCAGGCCTAGTTTATTAATCCCCTTGGGGCTGCCTCCCAATCACAGTCGCTCCGTACAGCTTGGTGAGACAAACAGGGCAAGCAGCCTGAGGGAGATGAACATCACCAGCTTCCTAGGCAGGCAAGTATTTGCATCAAAATGCTCGCGTGCATATGTGACATTACGTACGTGTCAAAGAGATCCTAGGTTGCGTCCAGATATGCAGATCCGCAGGGAACGATTTGCGTTGTGTCCACAATCGCTGGTGGAGTTGTATAACACGCACGTCCGTTAACAGAAAGCCTACCATATGTTCGGATATACTAGCCCGCCATTAAGAAAACACCAAAGCCTGGCTAGCTGCAGTCAGAGGCCCTAGTCATGATGTCTGGAGATTTCGTCCAGGAACTCTCAGTGGGGCAGCCGAGGCCTGGGTCTAGACCGCTCGCTCCGAGGGGAAATTAGTAAAGGCATCTCTTTACAGACATGAGACTCCAGAGAGCCTGTAATTACCTACCCTAATGTCCATGCCTACATGCTGGTACTGCATACGTTGACCTCGAGGTACGTCGCAAACCCAAACCACCAACCCCACAACCACGTCGTACTATTCACTGCTACGGCCGAATTGCCTTGGGTACAACACGAACACCTGCAGGGTACATGGTAGAGGCTATCCAGGCAGGGATAGGTCGCCTTACGGATGCTAGTCCTTGCCTGCTGAACCAGCCACATCATCCGACGACTAGTATTGCCTTACTGCGTGTATCTGCAAATATCTCAGATTCTTCACACCACACCGCCGTGCTCCCAAAGCCGATGGGAGCGCTCAGCAGCCCGCATATGGATGATGTACGTGTATTAGAACTGGTAAGTTAAGTCTGAAACCCCGGCCTTGGATCCTGGTGCTACACAGCAACCATCACCCCTCCCTTCTCCCCTCCCCATGATAGGCCCTGATCCCCACCCACCATGGCAGGACCCCAGCTCTGCTATGACGACATTGTGCCTTTGGCGACAACCTCAGCTCACCAGCCCGCTCCCAGTCCGCACATTTCGGATGTCTTATTTTTGGAGTTTTTCAGATGGGTTTTCCAGATGGAAATGGGAAATGAAGTGGCCGATTCCGATGCCATCTCCAGGTGTTCCCCCGGGCCCGCCTTTGGGCCATTGGGCGTCATCGTCGTCATCACCCAGGTCCCTTTCCTTGGTGCACATGTCCACCTTCGCATCTCCAAATGACCTCATCCAGAGTCGAGTCTCTCGCAGACGGTTTAATCCTTCATGTGCGGGCCCTTCTCTAACACACTAGACTGCATTGAATTCCTCATGGGCAATGAATCGGCCATGTCATCCTCGTCTGAAGCATGACGACTTGAATTGTTGTCCCTTGATGATGATGATGATGCTGCTGCGGACGATCCGTTTTAACGAAGTTGCTGCCGCGGGTGCCATCATCACTTCGCATAAAGAAAAAAAGAGCTAGGTCATAATGTCGTAGTTGGACCTCTAGTAGGAGCAATGAAGGAGTAAAACACCCAAGGATCGAAACCACGCCCTTCCGTTCTACCTTGAACCAACCCAGCGATTTGGAATTTGTCCACGGCTTCCGGTATTACACTTGGCCCAGTTACATCAAAGGTAATACTCAATGCGTTAGGCCTTGATAAGAAGTCGTATTTGCCACTCCGTGAAGGCTTATACAGACTCTTTGGGCTCTGGTTCCACCAGCCCAGGCCATACACTGCAATATATGGCAAAACGGTGACATCCTGTGGTGATATCGGTTGCGGTCAGCAGTCAGCCACCATGACGGGAGCGACACGTCAAGCCACACTGCCACAACGCTATCGCAGTGTTTCCCTAAGAAAAAAAAGTGAAGATATTACCCTCTGCGCCCGTAGTCCGGGTTTGCCCGGTTCTAGATTGCGAGTCTCTCGCCTCCCGGTGGTCTGCTCAGAGCCGGCCCAAGTGAGTCTGAAGAGATAATGCTCTTGCTCGCGCAGAGATGAATGTGAGTAGTCTCACAAGGGGCAGAAATCCACAGCCCAGACGCAAGACTAGCTCGACATGCCCCTGGATGATCCCTCCTCGTAGCGTGGCGAAATCTTCAAGACTGGCCAGCCTCACTGACGACGCCCGCTTGGCCCGTCAGGCAAGCCACATCAGCCTTTTTAGCTCGACGTAGGCGCATCGCGCCGTGTAACCCTATTGGGGGGCTTTCGCTCACCTCCGCTGCTCGGTTCCGGCATCGATCTGCGGCTCGCCACAGGACGTCCAACCGTTGCAGACGATGGACCGGCATGATAGAGTTTGCTGCCTGATGGGGCAGCCAATTCGCATCGGCTCCCCCCTTGGAGAATGATGGATCGGCGTTGATGGTGCGCGCTTGAGCCGTTTGAAAGCGCCTCCGTTATGCCAGACGCTACGGATACAGGAGACATCCGATCACACAAGCTCTTGGCAATGGGTAAGGCGCCGAGCTGGGGAAGGGAAAAAAGTAATTTAGCATTGGGGGACTGCAAATTTGTTATTTTCATGCTCTCAACTTTGGGTATCAACAACGTCGTCCCGAGTCTTTTCGGGAAAAAGGAATTAGCATTGGGAGAGTCATCCCTACTTTCAGCTTCGTGTAATTGCAATGTCTCCCAAGCCTTTTCGGGAAGTAAGATACGGGGGTAGCGATATCAAGAGCAAAACCCATGGCCGTCTCGAAGTAAAGGGATTCGTATTCGGGCGTCTTGTAAAAATCCGTGTGCTCGTTGATGGAGCCCGAAGAAATGTGGAAGGAACTCCCGATAGGAAGTGCGAGTTTCACGCCACAAGATGTTGGTTTTGCCCTCAATGAGTCATGTTAGAGAACTTACCAGCTGGGGGGTGGACATCTTCCACACACTTTGTGATTGACAGGTACGGCAAAAACTTAGGCCTTCCATAAACTCGGAGGGAAGCCAGTCTTCTGATACCTCACACCTATGGGTTCCTTCATTTGATGTATCAAGGCATATTCAAGCACAAGGAGTAAGCGAAGCGTTAAGTTGGAAGGGAGCAATGGTTGGATTGTAAGTTTCATTCGTGATGAGAATTCTTCTCAAAATTTATCATTATACACACCCACTCGCCCGAGTCCTGTTTTTCACTTTTTAATCTTTCTTCAAGGGCAGGAACTTCTCCTCGATACCATCCTTTGTCAGGATAAACATTTGTAGGCTGTCACCGACCTCGATGTGACGCTCAGCCGCACCGTCAAAGGCATCCTTCACAACCGTCTCGACCTCGCTGAGGAGGAGGGGTCGGCGCTCACGCTCCTGTAGGTTGTGACCCACGCCGCTTCCGGGTGCGTATTGGTTCTTGAAGTTGACCTGGTTGTCCAAGAAGGGCATGATCAGACTTCCCGCGGCACCGCCAGCTCGGCATGTTTCCCTCTCGTAGCTACCAACGGGGTCGTAAGAGTAGACCACACCCTTGCCCTCCTCGTCGATCCCGCCCAACATAGCATGAACGTAGTAGGGGAAGAATCGCTTGCCGTATAGAATGGTCGACAGGCGCTTGGCACATGCGTTGGCGGACATGGCCTTGCCATGGCGGTAGCGGTAGATCTTGCAGACGGTGTCGAGCTGGTCACGGAGGGCATTTCCGTCAGCGGCAAAGCCGCATACTGAGAGGACGATAGTGGCATCGTGCTGGTCGGCAGTTGTGCCGCCAATCTTGAACAACTTGGGCTCCATGCGAGAGTTGATGCTGTAACCGGAGGTGTGTCGGGTATCGCCCGCCATTACGGTGAAGTCGGCTCCGGAGATGGCCAGGGTGGAACCGCCATTGTCGGTGTATCTAAAGTGATTACTGTAAGCCGTGTGCCCTTCAACACTACCACGTCTCGGCCACTCACGGGTAGAAGCGATGCTCTCGATAGTTGTTGGTCTTGGGAGCATCGGTGGTTGCGTAGTGGGGCCCATTCATCAACGGGTTCTGGCTGAACATGGCTGCCATCTTTGCAATATAACCGGGCGGACAGTCTCTTAGTGATGTGCTGAAGCTCGAGAGGTGTTTGGAATTTTCGGTGGACGATGGCTGGATGGGTTGACGATGATATCGGAGGTGGAGGTGGGAAGCTTGCCTGGGTAGTTCAATGAGCTGGGGTTGCACGCGTACAGCTTGTAGCCTTGAGTTTGACTGAGGTGGAGGATGACTAAGCGTGTTGATGTTGCATCAGCAATAGCTCCCCTGAATCTTGGAAATCGTCGTCATTTCAGGCTGTCCAACGTGTCGGTTCCCGGACAATACGGTCCTGGTCAATAAAAAAATTCGAATCGTCTTTTCCATCGGTTGCTTTCGCTTCATGCAATAGCAGAGAGGCATTGCACGCAGCCATGTCGTACGACATTCGCGCCAGGGCGCTCCAGAAGATAGCTTCGCTATCTGCGACCGCTCCTTCGCCGCTGGACAGATCCGACCTTGACCGTCTATGCAGAGCTTGTCACACAGGCGCAAAGAGCAGAGAATATACCAATGGCGCGGGATCCACCACATCCGTGGGAAAGATCCCCATGGTTTGTTATCCCCGACAGGTTCTCGATATCGTGGTAAAATCGAAGGCTGACCGTGATAGACCATTCGCGAATTCGAGGTCCTATTAGCGCTATGCAAGACGTCACCAAATATACAATCCGCCCAGAGCGCTCAGAGGCTTTCATATCAACTAAAGCCATACATGCAAGAGGCTCCGTTCCAAACTTTCGTCCCGTCTCCCTTCTTTCGAAAAGTCGATCCGTCGCCCACCGAGGTTCTCACGTTCCACGTTACAGGGGCATTGCTCGCTCTTGGGCTGAACTACACGGATCTACAAGATGGGGTTTCCGATTGTATCTCTGGTTTTCTTCAGACTTGCTCCAAGGTCACCGATGGTGTTCTTGCTCCTCGAATTGGTGGCGGTGACAACTTCCATCTATCAGATGCCATTCGCACGACGACCGTGGTGCTCGCCCTTCTCGGTTTTATGGACGCGGTATCTGCGCAAGCCGACTTTTGGAGACCAGCTGGACGACTACACCTCGCAGAGAAAATCCGTACTCTGATCTCAGAGCCCTTTCTCGTTGCCGTTGAGACGGCACTGTCCACGATTCGCAATTCCGAGAGCCAGGATCGGGAAGTCAAGGAATGGAGACGGCTTATTCGCCACTATGCATACCTCGACCGCCCCTTGGGGGCAATGCTCCTCCAGCGGACCTTCATGTGGCTTGTTGTTTCGAGCACATCTCTTATGATAGCTGATGGGCCAGCTCTTAGGGACAGCCATATCCTCGACCTCCTCATGGCAGACTCGGAGAATTTAGCTCTGGGTTCTTTCAAACATCGAGAGGAAGATTTCAGCTCTATTGAGGTGTATGCTGCCCTTGCGACAGAGCAGATTAACAGCGTCGAGGCCGACTCTGACTTTGTTGTTCGTATTGGGACTTCCTCTCAGCAAACTCTGGCGTATGGTGTCAAGTCCGCTGCTCTTATCGCGTACTTGAACTGCTCGCTGCTTAATGAGGATGCGGCGGATGTTGAGACTCTGCTTACATGGCTCCAAGAGACTCTTGAAGATCCGTTTCAAATGGCAGACGATACCCTTGCCCCTGTAGTGTTGAAATCGCTTGCACTTGTGTGTCAGATTTCGCCGTCCTCGGCATCCGCCGTTAGCAGGATCTTACCACGCTTCCTTGTGCAGAGTGCCCCCCACGGAACCGCAGTTGGGATCGCATCGAAGAGCTTGGCCTTTGTGCTCAAACTACTGTCAAAGGATGCTGTAATCAGCACTCTCTACACCCTTGGAAATGTCCTCAGCCCTGAATCCGAGACCTCTCTCATTAATGGCCAGGCTAATGGCAACACATCTAATGAAGCGGGCCTCAATGTCATGTACGCAAACCGCCGCTCAGTAGCTAGTGCTATTTCGCTGCGGGCTGATGGCGAGGAGCCTGGTGTTGTATACGAGAACGTGGTCCAAGCCATTTGTGGGATTGCCACGGCCTGCCAGGACGAAAAGATTACGGCTCTAGCACAGTCAATGCTTCTACAAAAGCTCGAGAAAGTCAGTCCCGCCGTTGATGCCCAGATCATCGCTGGAGCAGGAAGTTTGGCCTTGAGTGGTGGTCAGTTGGAGTTCCGCTCGCTCCTCAAAATGTATGCGAGAATGTCTCATGTAGGGGTGACAAACAAGGATGACTCAATTCTTGGTGCAGTAAGTATTCCTTCACCTGTAGCATTGCTTAATCTCGACTTACAGATCGACACAGGTTATGAAAGCTCGCACTCATATCTCAGCCAATCTTGACCGAGGTTCGGCTCTTTTCGACATCTATTTAGAGCACATACTGGAGACTATCATCTCTCTTGGAGATGTGCCTTCATCGACACACACCAAGGAGGCCGATCTTCAGCTAGCCGCCTTGGAAATCGCTGAACTCCTTCGCCCGCTGGCTGTCTTGATGTCTACAAACGACTTTGCAGCCGAGCCTATTGAAAGCGATGAGTTCACACAGCTGCTTCGAGATGCGTGGTTCAACATCGTCGTTCATGGGTTCACAACAGCGACGGAGCGGGGCAAGAAATACATCAACGAGCTTAGGGTGATCGCTGTTCAATCCCCACCGCTCGTCGCAGAAAAGAGAAGCGAACAGGTTGAAAGTGATATTGAGCTCAATACTGTCTTGAGGCGTGGCAACAGCAATGAGCGAGAGGCTCTTCAGAAGAAGCTTCTGAGCGAGCTGATCCCCACCAAGGCTGGTGATATCAAGGGTCTGAGCTATCGAAAGGTCATCTTCTTGCAGGCTGCGTATCTGGTGGAAAGCCTCAGAGCCGACGGCGGCGACTGTACCAAGGTTCTCTCTTACTTCCTTGAGCCTAGTATGCGCAAGGCGGAAGTCAGTAGTACCATGGAGGGCATCGCAGCCGCTGTCGTCGACAAGTATCTGAGAAGAACACTTGCAGGCACGGATCCGGCTTTCTCAGCTCAATATGCTGCGAAGCAGCTTGCCTCTATTTTCTGCATATGCTGTCATCGCATAGAGAGAATTCAGCAAGCTGCGTTCGCATGTGCTGACCGGATTATCCGGGATGTACCCTCTGCGTTGTGCAGCCGAACTTCCTTATTCGCCCTTCTCGAACTCTTGTCCTTGATGTGGACTGGCTGTTTGGAAGCCGAGACTGATATCTACACTCCGCGGGCAACATTCAGCTCTGAGCTTGGCAATGTAACTGTTGAGCTTTCTGATGACTATGACTTCCGCCGCTGGACCTTGGATATTCTCAACCGAAAGGCCAAGACTTGGGTGAACACCGCCATCAGCCTGGCTCCTCTCGACATCAAAGGACTTCTTCAAACCTACCTCTCCGAGTTTAGTGATGATGGTGCATATGGCCATATCTCCCTAGGAAGATCATTCGCTCTTGAGCTCGGCTCTGTGATTCCATCCACAGACCAACGACTTCAATCCCTCGAGCGGGTCGGAGACTGCGATATCAACACTGCCTCGGACCTGATTGCGCAATATACCACTCGACAGGAATACCGATATGGAGAGATTCTCCCCGATCGTGCTAGCGATCTGGTCAACTACATGCACTTGACTAGCCGCAAAACGTCCGAGGTGCAGTCACCTCTGAATGAAAGTGCAAATGCTTCCACGGCGCTGGCTCATGTGGAAGCCAGAATTCTGAGCAAGAAGTCGACGTCTTGGAATGAAGTCCGAGACATTTTGCGAAGAGCGGCAGCTTTGCTGTGTCGCAGCCAAGTCGACGAGTCTGCAATTGCTCGCTATCTCGTCAGCATTCCTTTTGCATTGTTCACTAAGCAATCCATTAAACTTGGCGTATCTCTCTGGCTTGGTGTCATAAACGAAAACCCTCGGCTTGAGTCCAAGCTTGTCAACGAGATTGCGCAGCAGTGGGAGTTCAGTATCGCCCGAAAGCTCGGATTGTTCCATCCATCCTTGACCCATCCAGACCCTTTCTTCCTTAAAGAGGAGTTTGCTCCTAGTGATTTGGAAGCGCTTGCGAAGCGAAAGCAGCTGGTTCATGACCTGCTGTCGCCACACACCCGTCTCTTGCAATTCTTTGGGAGCCATTTCAACGCAACTCGTCTCAGCAGCGTTGATACCCGTCGTGTTTTCCTCCGCATGCTAGACTTAACACTCGATGCAATGAAGAATGCATCCCCTCACCCAATGGCCAGAGAGCTTCGGTTCCTCATTATTCTCTACGCTTTAAGGATGCTACGTGCCAGCACCATGATTGGGGCTACCGCACAATGGAGACTGAAGGAGAAGATCTTGTCTGCTGGATTGAGCTGGTTTAGGCACTCCCCCAAGTGGTCATTTGGTAGTAACAGGCTTCAGTTGAAGACTGAGATACGCCTGATCACGGACGTTCTAGCTGCTCTTAAAGCCATCAGCTTCATTGGTGGACAAACCGTCGGGAACCTAAAGTCGCTCCAACCAAAGGAACAGCTGCTTCAGCTGCTTCTCGAAAACGAACAGTCACGATTGGCCGTTTGGATTAACCCTCTCAACGTGCCTGGAAGTCACAGTCACGCTCATAGCGCAGCGAAAGCCGCCACAGAGGCAACACTTTGCTCCTTAGTTCGAACAGCCTGGTGGCTCGATCCTGCCATTGCCATTGAGCTTGCCACGAGATTCCCCTTCCCTCGACTGCACAGGGATATCCGTTTTCTACTCCTCACCATGCCAGAGAGAGCAATTTCAGAGCCAGAAGCTCTACCAATTGTGTACGACGGACATCTACCTGGTGATTGCAGCTCACAGTTGAAGGTAAGTCTTTCCTTTAATCTCTTGTAATCTCTTGTAATATACTCTTGAATTTGAAAGCTAACCGTTTGTAGTATCTCTTATTCTGGGAGCCTGTCAATCCTGTGACAGCTGTGACCATGTTCTTACCCGCCTACAAGGACCATCCATTAGTCATCCAATATGCCATGAGGGCGCTTGAGT